CTACCAGCTGCTCTGCAGGAGAAAGATCAGGCTTTTTACTCCCGTAAAGATTTACACCCTCGGAAACCCTGTACAGGGTCGCTATGGGTCGAAACCGACTCGACGGCACTTAACAACAACAACTAAGGGCTCATGTTTGGAATTAAATAAAAAACATAACTGAACATGCTTACAATCATTGTTATGTTTGAACCATTGTTGAAGCCACTGTGTCAATCCATCTTGTTGAGGGTCTTCGTCTTTTTTGACTGAAGCTCTATTTTACTAAACATGATGTCCTTCTCCAGGGATTGGTCTAAGGTATATGAGATGAAGTTTCATCCTCCTCAATCGTAAAAAGCATTATGGCTATACTTCTTCCAAGACAGATTTGTTTATTCTTCTGGTAATCCATTCAATATTCTTCACCAGCACCATAATGCAAATGCATTAGTTCTTCTTTGATCATCTTTATTCATTGTCCGATATTCACATTCATGTGAGGTAATTGAAAATGCCATGGCTTGGGTCACGCCCACCTTATTCCTTAAAGTGACATCTTTGCTTCTTAACACTTTAAAGAGGTCTTTTGCATCAAATTTGTCCAATGCAATACACTTGATTTTTTGACTGCTTCTTCCATGGGTGCTGATAATAGACCCAAGTAAAATGAAATTTTAATATTTTCTCTGTTATCATAATGTTGCTTTTTGGCTCCGTTGTAAGGAATTTTGTTTTCTTTATATTAATACTGAAGGCTATAGTCTTGGATCTTCATCAGTAAATACTCAAGTCCTCTTCACTTTCAGTAAGCAAGGTTTGTCCTCTGCCTAATGAAGGTTGTTAATGAATCTTCCTCCAATCTTAATGCCACATTCTTCTTTATATAGTCTAGTTTACTGGATTATTTGCTCAACGTATAAATGGAACAAGTACAGTGAAACATACTGTCTAATGCACACCTTTGCTGATTTTACATCACACAGTATCCCCTTATTCTGCTTGAATGACTGCCTCTTTGTCTATACACAAGTTCTTCATGAGCACAATTATAAGTGTTCTGGAATTCCCTTTCTTATTATGATCTACACAGTCAAATGACTTGTCGTAGTCAATAAAACATGGGTAAACATCTTTCTGGTATTCTCTGCTTTCAGCCAAGATCCATTTGGTATCAGCAATGATATCCCTCATTCAATGTCCTCCTTTCAATCCTACTTGAATTTCTGACAGTTCTCTGTCGATTTATTGCTGCAAATATTTAATAATCATCTTCAGCAAAATTTCACTCCCATGCGATAATAGTGATATTGTTGATAATTTCTACATTCTGTTGGGTCACCTTTCTTTAGAATGGATCCAAATATGGATCTCTTCCAGTCAGTCTCCCAAATTTCTTCACATATCAAGTGATCAATTCTAGCATTATATCCATTTGTTGAGACATCTCACTTGTATTCTGTCAATTCCTGGAGCCTTGTTTTTCACCAATGTCTTCAGTAGAGCTTGGACTTTTTCCAATACTATTGGTTCTTGATCATTAGATATCACCCCCTGAAATAGTCGAATGTTGACCAATTATTTTTGATACAGTGGCTGAGTATTTCTTTCATCTTATTTTGATACTTCTTAGGACTTTCAATATTTTGCCCATTGTTGTTGTTGTTGTTAAGTGCCATCGAGTCGGGTCCAACCCATAGCGACCCTGTACAGGGTTTCCGAGGGTGTAAATCTTTACGGGAGTAGAAAGCCTCATCTTTCTCCCGCGGAGCAGCTGGTAGTTTCGAACCGCTGACCTTAAGGTTCGCAGCCCGATTCGTAACCACTACACTACCAGAGCTCCTTAGAATTTTCCAATATTGCAACTCTAGGCTTGACTTGTTTTCCTTGGTTCTTTCAGCTTGAGAAATGCTGAGCATCTTCTTCCCTTGTGGTTTCCTAATTCCAGGTATTTACACTTTTCATTGCAATACTTTACTTTGTCTTTTTGGTCTGCCCTTTGAAATCTTCTGTTCGGTTCTTTTACTCCATTACTTCTTCCGTGTACTTTAGCACCTGGTATGGCACTGTAGGATAAAGTACTTGACCACAAGGTCAGTTTGAACCACAAGATTGGCAGTTCAAACCAACCAGCCACTCCTTGGAAATCCTATACAGGGTTGCTATCAGTTGGAACTGACTTGACAGCACTTAACAATAACAACAATTCTACATTCGAGAGCAAATTTCAGAATCTCTTCTGACAGTCTGGTCTTTTCTTTCTTTCCTATATTTTAAATGTATGATGCTTTTTTTATGTATGATGTCCTTGATATAATCTCACAAATCATTTGGTGTTCAGTTATTAATGTTCAATGTGTCAAATCTATTCTCCTTGAGATGTCTTAAAATTCTGGTGGGATATAGTCCAGGTTAGGCGCATGGTAGCTTTATATGATAAGCACTGGACTGCAAACAACAAGGACCTTGGTTCAAGCCCACAAAGATGAGGCCTCCTGCTCCCTCAAAGATTTAAAGTCTCGGAAGTCCAATACAGGAGTTGCTATGAGTTGGAACCAACTGGATGGCACTTTACAACAACAACATACTCAAGGTTGTGCTTTGACTCTCACCAACTGCTTTTCATTTCCTTCAGCTTTAACTTGATCTTGCATATTAGCAAGTGATAGTCTGATCCACAGTCAGCCTCTGGCATTGTTCTGTTAGTACTGAGCTTCTCTATCATCTTTCCATAAGGAGCTCTGGTAGCATAGTGGTTATGAATCAGGCTGCGAACCTCAGGGTCAGCAGTTCAAAACTACCAGCTGTTCTGCAGGAGAAAGATGAGGCTTTCTGCTCCTGTAAAGATTTACAGCCTTGGAAATCCTGTACAGGCTCGCTATGAGTCAGAACCGACTCCACGGCACAAAACAACAACAACAAAAACAATCATCTTTCCATAGATACAGTTTGTTTCTTGTGTATTCCATCTATTGAGGTCCATGTGTATAGTCGCCATTTATGTTGTTAAAAAGGGTATTTGCAATGAATGGGTCATTGGTCTTGCAAAGTTCAATCACGTGATCTCCAGCATTTCCTTTCTATCATCCAGGCCATATTTTCCAACTCTGGATTCTTCCTCTTTGTTTCCAACTATTGCAATATTTGATCAATTTCAGAATGCAAAAGTTGGTTAAAAAAATCTTTCTTTATACTTAGCATTAGTGTTTGGTACATAAATTTGTATAAGTCATATTAATTGGTCCTCCTTGTGAGTATATGGATATTTTCCTATCACTCAAAATGTTGTGACAATGAATACAATACCATTCCTCTTCAATCTGTCATTTCTGGTATAGTAGATCATATGATTGTCTGATTCAAAATGGTCAATACCAATCCATTTCAACTCACTAATAATAATATTAGAATTTACTAAAACAGAATGGTACCTGTCCCACCTCTCCCCATCCTTACTTCTTTCTCCCTACCATTTACCATGGACCAGAATTTTGTTATACATCCATTAATGCTACAAGCAGATATATAAGTTTTCCTTGGTCCCTCTGAGCTTATCATTTTTTAATTCTAAGCCAATTTGTGAGGTGATAAATGACATTTGTTGCATTTCTTTACTTATTAATAATTGAATTTTTATTTATGTAGTTATTTTAAACTTTGTCCCCTTTTCCCTTGCCGCATTCATTTTTTTTTTTTTTTTTTTAACAGAAATGTACTGCTCTCCCTATAAAAGCTAATAACCTAAGGGAGGGAGATACCTAATTACCTTTTGGACATTAAATTCATTGCAAATATCTTCCCTACTTTGAATTTGTCTTTTAACTTTAAGGTGTATTTTTCTGCACAGAAACTCTTAGTTTTGTGCAGTCAAATCTGTCAGCCTTTTCCTTTATGGGGCCTGTATTTTGTGTTGTGCTTAGTTTGCAATATCTGTATTAACAACAATAATAGCAACAAAAATACATTGTTTTGTGTTTGGATTTTAAAAAACAAAACAAAACAAAAAACCTGTCTGAAAGAACTTTCTTTTCATTTTAAATCTGCTGTCTATGTAGAAAATAGTCTTTGCATCATGATCACACAGCTAGCATTTGAATCTTTGAGTGCCATGCATCTCATAAAATGCTTCACTGCAGTAATATTGAAACAGTGCTTCATCTCTCTATTCCTTTTCTAAGATAGCCCTTGCATCTCTTTTCTTGTCTAAATTTGTGAATTGGGCAATGGTTCACTCCAGTAACTTGCTTGTATAAAGAGAATGCAGTATCTTTATGCCTCATCACTAAATCAGAAAGAATAAGAAAACAGAAAAGAAAGAGGAAATTAAAAGGAGCCAAGTCATTTTCTTTCTACAGACCTAGTCACTTCAAGAATACTGAAAGTGCCATGGACTGCCAAAAGAACCAATAGATTTGTTTTGGAAGAAATGCAGCCAGAGTGCTCCTTGGAGGCCAGGATGGCTAAGCTTCGTCTCTCCTACTTTGGACATATTGTCCGGAGGAAACAGTCGCTGGAGAAGGATGTCATGCTGGGTAGGGTGGAGGGTCAGAGAAAAAGAGGAAGACCTCCAACAAGATGGATCAGCCAGGTGGCATCATTGATGGACTCAAGTGTGGCAGCGGTAGTGAGGTTGGCCCAGGATCAAACATTGTTTCGTTCTGCTGTGCATGGGGTCGCTATGAGTCGGTTCCGACTCGATGGCACATGACAAGTCACTTCAAGTTGCTTGCTTGTTTTAGACTTTTACTTCCTCCTCTCATTCCCTTTGCTTCTTCTCCAGAATTAAGAACCACTCCTTTTTGTGACATCCTTTTCTGTTGCTAAGCAACAAACTCAGGACTCCACATATCCCATTAGCCCAGGGAGAACCTTGGACAAAGGAGCTCCAAGAAGGAAGCTGTAGCTCTGTAAAAGGAAAGTTGAGAGGAAGTAGGCCACAGAGATGCTTCGACTCATCATGGAGTCCGCCAAGATTGACCCCCCCCAAAGTCCCGTGCCCTGTCTTTGCGTGACGATCTATTTCAGAGGTGAGAGACAGGATCCCAAATGGGGAGAAAGGAGACCCAGGAAGCAACAGTTATTCAGTGAAAAATTATAGTTACTAATGTGGTGCTAAGTAAGGTCCGTGGTTCAAGCTCACCAGCTGCTCCTTGGAAACCCTATACAGGGTCACTATGGATCGGAATCGATTCTATGGCACTTAACAACAACAACAATGTGGCGCTGTGGGTTAATGCACCAGACTGCAAAGCCGTTTTAACTGCAAGGTCGGGGGATCAAGCTCACCAGCTGCTCCTCGGAAACCCTATACAGGGTCACTATGAGTCGGAATCGACTCACCGGCACTTAACAACAACAACAACAATGCCCTACCATGTAAAAGTTGTCCTTTATGACACAAATATGACGAAGATACCATCTGTTCTTTAAAAACATTATCTTTATTATTTCTCTCATTATGAATTCTTTGCCTCCCATTTTTTTCTAGAGAATGGCTATGGGGCAAAAAGAAGACCAAAACTATGCTACAAGCTGAGGGTTGTTGTTGTTAAGTACTGTGGAGTCGGTTCTGACTCATAGTGACCCTGCACAGGGTTTCCGAGGCTGTAAACCTTTACGGGAGCAGAACGCCTCATCTTTCTCCCGCAGAACCGCTGGTAGTTTCGAACTGCCAACCTTGAGGTTAGCAGCCCGATTCGTAACCACTACGCTACCAGAGCTCCTGAAGGTTAGGTTAAAGAAAGAAAGAAAAAAAAAAAAAACTGCTTTATAGAACTATACTGCTGTTGTTAAGTGTCACTGAGTAGGTGGGTTTGAACCACTAATCTTGCCACTAGCAGTCCAGTGCTTATTCTACAGCTCCACACCAGAACTACAATGAGGATTAAAAAACCAGCCTTTGCTGTAATTTCTAGTAACAACTGCTCAATAATGTCAATGACTTTTATAATTTCTGGTAATAACTGATTAATAATATCAATTACTTTTGAATGAGCTTTGCAATCAACAGAGATTTTTCACAAATATGTCGTTTGCTCCTTACAACAATTCCATAGGAGAGATGAAGTAAGTTTCATTATCGTCGTTGTTTATAGGTAAGGAAAAAGAAATCTAGGAAAGGAGGGAGGTGGACAGACTTATGAAATGAAATGTATCTCTATAACAAAGAGCTGAGAACAAGCTTTGGTTTCCAAGGGTTATGGTTACAAGGTACCACAAACTGGTAACTTAAAATAATAAATTCATTCAATCTCAGTTCTGGAGGCGAAAAGCTTGAGACCAAGGTGTTGGCAGGGTCATATTCTCTCTGAAGCCAAGGAATCTTTCCTTGCCTCTCCCAGCTTCTGGTATCCCTGGCATTCCTTGGCTAAAGCAGGCTAAAGCAAAAAAAAAAAAAAGCCAAAATTTATAACATCATCTGCAGGCCATGTAAAATTATCAACTTTTAAATTACCCTGCAATATTTGTTCAAACACTTAATTACCTCACCCCTAATTACCTCACTCCTGATGTGGTGCCATAGGATTAACACTAGAGACAAACCACAAGGTCAATAGTTCAAACCCCCTAGCAGCTCCTTGGAAACAGGGTTGTTATTTGTCCTAACATATTCAATGGCATTTAACAACTATGTGATGGCTGGAAGTGAGGTTGCCTTGACAGGGCCAGACCAAATGATTTCAAAGGCCTTATAAGGCCTGTGGGCTGGACGCTCCCCACCCCTAGCATACAGCATGGGTCCTACCTCCGCCTTAGTCTTCTCATGGCCATCTTCCCTTTGTGTGTGTGTGTCTCTTCTCCTCATTATAGAAGGATCATAGCCATATTTGATAAGGGCTCAGCCTAATGGCCTCATTTTAATTTGATTTAACTCTGAAAAGATCCTATTTCCAGAAAAGGTCTCATTCATAGGTAGGGGAGGAGGAAAAGTTAGAACCTCAACAAATTTTTCTAGGAGACACAATTCAATCCAAATAGAGCAAAAAGGGAACAGAGAGAGGGGGCAGGGGGAAAGAGTAAACAATCTAGTCATGGAGAATACAGGGAAGTGAATGCAGGCAAGTGAGACACTCAGACCAAGAGGAAAAGGGAGACAAAAACTCATCTATAAGAGACTTGAATACAAAAATGAAACTTCTTTCAGTTCTTTTTTTCTGACCTGTGAAACTGTGCTTGCTGAACATGACAACAGTCAGCTATTGAATATTTTGTTTGGAGACTCTATAGCATGATCTGTCACACAGGGTGACATCATTCTTATAAAAAGTGAGAAATTTTGAACCCCCCAGAAAAAGAGTCAGTACCATATCAGACCTGCAGAATAGACTTCAAGTTTTCTTAGAATGTCGACTCAAACCCAGACTTTGAAATGGTCCCCATACCAATGCCAACCCTGTGGTGTTCTTGCAGATATCAAGAAGAGAACCCATGTGGTGAAAGGAAACAACCCCACATGGAATGAGGTATGTATGACACACCAGGGCAAGCCCAGAGAGGAAGTGACAGCACAATGGTGAGGAGGCAGAAGTGGTGTCCAGGCAGGTGCTCACAATCTCTTCCCAAGGCCATGATGCCTTGAACTGAGCTAACCAGGCTGTGAAGACTTAAGGGTTACAGCAGTCACATCTGTCCACAGTTGTTCTTGGTCTTTAGTCCCCTCTCTGGGGATGGACCATGGTATTGCCCATCAAGTAGTCCAACTTGGCCACCCTAATGTTCCCACAAGCCAGAAGCAGAATTCCCACTCACCTTCCCATCCATTCACATGCCCGTAGTCCCCAAACTCCTAAATTCCTAACACATCCATATCACTGCAGTTCAAGCAACAAGAACCCAGGTAGGATGGCTCACATCCCCTTCAGAAAGTAGACATGAGGGAGGCATCTCTGTTTTAGAGAAACAGTGTCAGCCATTCCTTGCATCTTTCCCCATGTTGCTGGAAAGATGTGATGGGGAGGGTGGAGGAAGGATGCTGGCCTCTCCATGTTTCTCCACAGACCCTAATCTGGCACCTCTGGACCGGTCCCCTAGAAAATGACTCCTTCTTTCAAATTATCCTTCGGGACAAGGGCTCAACAAAGAAAGAAAGGTGAGGCAGAGCGGTGCAGGGGAAGTCTGACTCCCCTGATCAAAGCAACAGCTTTGTATCTTCTCTCATTCTATGACTCATTCAGATGCAGGGGACAGCACTTCAGCTGCTAACACAAAAACAAACAAATCCAGGGTGGGGGGATTTACTGGAAGGATACTGAAACTGGGAGTTCAGATGAGCTAGAATTTGGGAACCCAGCAGCCATTCCAGATGAAACTATAGTCTCTGTTTCTTCATACCTCTTTCCATTCTTTTCTCTCTGATAAACCCTGTTTTCCAAGCCTGTGTTAGTGCCCAACTGAGACAGAAGCTATGGCATCCTAGGACAAAGAATCTGATTGGTAGAGCTTAGGCCAGGTGTCTACTAATGATCAAAAGAGCTATCACTTGGCCTCATTCCCATTCAGAAGAAGTGTGGGAGTAGATGTTCTGGGAAGGGATGTGAGTGGAGCAAAAACTACATCCGAGGCACCCACTGTTCTAGGAACCCAAAAGCCAATTCCCAGCCTCTGGGAGAAAGCCATCTCTAGATAAAACCATTCCTGGGACAGAAAAGAACACTCCTCTCCCCTAACTCAGGATCTCACAATTGCTTCTCATCTCCCAGGTTCATTGGCATAGCCACAGTGCTGCTCAAGCCCTTGGTGGAACAACCGAATGAGGTCCTTTATGTGAAGGACTTACCCCTGCTCAACCATTCTATGGCGCCTACAGATGTGAGTCAAGCCTAAGAAAGACCCAAGAAGAGAGGGCTGAGAGAGTAGGGGGAGCCAGTGAAGTTGGGCTTTGGTGTGTTTCCTGCCCCTGGAGGAGCCTTATCCACTGCCATCATCTCTGGACTCTTCCATTCCTCTATCTATCTACCTACCCACCATGCATCCTTTCATCCATCCACTAAGACTGAATCATTGATTGCCCAGTTGGCATCAGTAACTCTGCTAAGCATTGGAATACAAGATTGAATGAGGCCCACAGTCTACTGGAATAGACCACACTCTCAGTGATAAGCACTCCAGCGTAGACATATACAAGATTCAGTAGAACTAAGCTACCATGGATCAGCAGGGAGTGATTCTGTGTGGGAGGTAATTGAAAGCTTTGGAGAAAAACTGATATTCAAGATGAATCTTAAGGAGAGGTATGAATTTGCCCAGAGGACAAGAAAGGACAAAAATTCTGGGTAGGGAACATAAAGTGTCTATACAAAGGCTGAATGGAGAAGGAAGTGTCATGGTATGTTGCAAGAGTAAGAGCTTATAAGGCTGGTGGACAGGCAGAGACCAGAAGGTGCAGTGCCTTGTGGTCTATGCAGATAAATTGTGGAATCAATCTGATCATTTAAAGGGGACTGAGGGGACACTTGGAGTACCTGAGTAATGCAAATGGTTAACAGTCTTGGCTGCTATCTGGAAGGTTAGTGGTCCAAGTTCACCCTGAGGCACCTCAAAAGAAATGCCTGATGAGCTACTTTTAAAAACAAAAACGAGCAAACCTAGTCACTGAAAACCCTATAGAACACAATTCTACTCTGACACACATAGGTTGGCTACAAGTCAGAGATGACTCAACAGTAACTGGTGTTTGTTTTTAAGAGGACATTTCAGGGCAATTCTGGTGACGATGAGGAGGTTGGGTGGATAGTGAGGGAACTTGGAAGCAGGAGGTCAGTTAGGCGTTTGTAGGAGTTCCCACTTGAAGTAATGTGATGTTTGGCTAGGGGATAAACTATCAGCATTGATGGCTTCTGAACTGGTGCTCAAGTCACCTCTCTATCTCTTCCCCACACATCTACATCCTTTCCTGTCACCACCATCACCACAGTATGGCTCCTTTATGCTCCAGAATCCCCCACAGTGAGCCCTGTTCTCACCTCTCCTTCCCAGACTGCTTAGGCCTTTATGGTATACCTCATACCATGGCCAGCAGTGCCTCACCCAGAGGACAGAGCATGAATCTAACTGAACTAGATCAAGTTCAAGTGCTGAGACTTGACAAAGGATCTCAGGGCCTGGCTTATAATTCTCTTGCCTTTGTTTTTTCAGTGCACTGTCACTCTACAGGTAGCTCTTGTGACCACCCCTGCTATTAAGACAGGTATGTCCTTCCTTGGGTTTTACAGCTTACTGGTTCCCAAGCATAGCTGAAAAGAGTCTTTGGGATCTTTGAGACCCATCCTGTGGCATTTATAGAGGAAATGTGACCAATTCAGAATCCTGGGAGACTCAGGGGTCTAGAGACCAGACATCCAGATACCTCAGTGAGGCCATCTGTCACCACATCATGTCTACTCATCGTTTCTAGACATACAACTATATTCACCAGAGGCTATGGCTCTAAGACACTCTTTTGCCTCAGAACTGAAGCCATTCCCGGAGGTCACCTTTCAGCCAAACAGTTGTTGTTAAGTGCCATTGAGTTGGTTCCAACTCATAGCAAGGGTTTCCTGTACAGGGTTTCTGGGGCTTTTAAAAATCTTTGTGGGAGTAGAAAGCCTCATCTTTCTCCTGCGGAATGGCTGGTGAGCTGAACCACCAACCTTGTACTTCACTGTCCAGTGCTTATCCTATGAAGCCACAGTGCTCCCCACCAAGCAATTGTTGTTGTTAAGTGCCATTGAGTCAGTTCCGACCCGTAGCAACTCCATATAGGGTTTCCAAGGAGCAGCTGGTGAGCTTGCACTGCCATCCTTAAGATTCAAACCGACTTTGCAGTCCAGCACATTATCCCATAGCACCACACCAGGACTCTGCCCAACAGTAGACAGGCTTGTAAAACAAACAGTAACACTCTGAGAGGAACAGGTTCCTGAGAATAATTAATTATACACGATCAAATGGATACTATTTAAATACCTTATGATCCAGCAATTCCTCTACTTGGTATTTACCCCACAAGAAATACAAGCCATAACACGACTAGATATATGCACACCAATGTTCATAACAGGACTATTTACAATAGCAAAAGATGGAGACAGCCAAGTGCCCATCAATTGAAGAATAGATAAACAAACTGTGGTACATACACACAATGGAATATTACGCTACCTTGAAGAACAACAAGGAAGCTGTAAGCTACCACATAACATGGATGAACCTTGAGGACATTATGTGGAGTGAAATTAGTCAGTCACAAAAGGAGAAATACTGCATAGGACCACTATTGTAAAAGACTAAGAAAAAGACCCATACTAAAAGGTGGGGAGGGGGAATTCTTTGCTGGTTACTGGGATGTAGGGGTTGGGATGAGGGAAGGGAGGAGAAGGAAGGTGGTGCACAGGGTAAGGAATAGTTTGTGTGCTGGGGAGGGGCGCAATACACAAGAAGGGAGAGGAGAATGGAAGAACAGGGCAGATGGGAAAACAGGCAGGTTTGCATGGACTAAGTGGGACAGAGGTAAATAATGATGTATGCACAACCTTGGAAAAGCAGGGCTCTGGGATACAGGGATTGAGACATGGTTTGAATGAGTAAAAGGGGGAAAATAATGTTAAGATGCTTGGCTGTCTTTTTTTTTTTTAATGCTTTATTGTGAATTATGTGATCCCATTGTATATCGTTTCCTTGCCATGGTTACCACGCAAGCCTGTGCGCCCCCTCCCTCCCCAGTCATCCACACACCGCCCCTCTCCCTATCCATGTCCAAAGTCTCCAGCCACTCCATCTCCCCAGTCATCGCCTCTGCCTCCATCCCTGGCATCACTGCTTCTCTGGTAGGGTTCCGTCCTCCACTCTTCTCTTTTTATGTTCCCTGGGACCTCTGCTCCTAGACTGCAAGGTTAATCACTCCCCTCCCTTTGCCCCAAAATATCTACCTTTACATTTCCAGCCCTTACAATCAGACCTGATAACAATTATTCGCTATTGTATAGCAAGAGACCTATCTGCATCTCCTTTCATCAGCCCTGACTAGGCAGAATGGATACTACTCAGTGGAGGTTCTACCTTGCTCCATGCCCTCTGGATCTATGTTCCCTCTTGAAAGCTTATAAGCCAGTCACTTCTTGCCTCTGTAGCTCCCCCCACCCCACCCCTACCATTTTGGGTAGCCAGTGTCCAAGTTGCCCATCCCTGTCTTCTCCGTGTGTGGAGGAGATGGGAATGATCCTCACTGTGAACATTTGTTCACTCTTTTGAGCTACTGCTTCCATAGGTGTATGTCAAGTTCATCAAATTGTATCAGATTATTCTTTTTTCCCCTCTTATATCTTCTTCTGTTTGAGCTCTGATTATCCAGCCATTGAAGCCAGGTCAAGTGGGTATAATCTGCAATTGTGGGTGCACTTATGCATGTGCCCTCTCTTCTTATCAACTGGACGCTTCACTTTCCACTCTAGTCCCCTGTGGCTATGTCGCTGACTCCGGGTCCAAGACTCCCCTGGACTTGCCACACTGCTGGCCAACCAGGTCTCCACCAGGGTTCACAGGAGTCTACTGAGCATTGTAGGGCTTAGCTTGCTGTTTCATTGCTGTTTTCCCCACACTTCCTCTTATTGGTGACGAACGTGGTCAATAATCAGAGCATGCATTCCTTTGAGTGTTAGTCTTAGAAGGGGATTGGCCCTGAGGGGGACCCAACCGCTTGCCTTGATGTCTCCTGGGCAAGCCACTTGTTTGTTCTTGTAATAATCAGTCGGCCTGCCTATATTGTTTTATATTTTTCCTGTCAGTCTTTCTTTCAGCAACTATCATCTGTTCTTCTGGCCACTCCAGGCTGGTCTGCTTGTCCTTTCAAGTGAACACTTTCTGGATGTGTTCAGTATTCCACCTATGGTCTTGTGTAATGCAGAGATTCCACAGGAAGCCTCCTTTGCGGGGCACGTTGTATCCCCATTTTAGGTATTCCAATCAGTTATAGGCAGAAGATGGACTTACAAGCTTTCTATGGTGGTATTTGTGGCTATTCCTTTCTCTCCCCCTCAAGTGTCGATTTTATAGTGGTATGCAACGGGAACTAAGATTCAACAGACAGCCAAGCATCTTAACATTATTTTCCCCCTTTCCCCCATTCAAATCATGTCTCAATCTGTGTATCCCAGAGCCCTGTTGTTCCAAGGTTGTACGTACATCATTATTTGTCTCTGTCCCACTTCAGCTTCACATTCATCCTATCATATTTCATTTCATTGCAATGATTAAAATCCCCTCTGTGCATCATCAAATAACCAAAGGATACACCCCACAGGCCTGCCCACCCTACCTCCCCACCCCCCACCCCCGCGCTGTCAGCAAACAGCTCTTCTCCCTCCCTGAGTCCCGTGTCCCCAGCCACTCTATCTATCCATGCCATCATCGTTCCCCCACCATTTTGGGTCTGGGCAGTTTCCAGCACACCCCCCAAGGTATTCTAGTTAGTTATAGGCTGAATACGGGCCCAAATGTTTTCTATTGTGATGTTTCTGGCTGCCTCACCCCAAGTGTCTAGTTCACAATGGTAGGCAAGGGAGACCAAGATTCAAAACACAGCCAAGCATCCTAACATTATTCCCCATTTTCCCCTCTTTCAAGCCATGCCTCAGTCACTGTATCCTGAAGCCCTGTTATTCCAGGGTTGTGCATACCTTGTCATTTAGCTCTGTCCCATATAGCCAATGCGAACCTGCCCAACCGTTCTCCCTGCCACCTTGTTCTTCTTTTCCCCCTCCCTCTTCTTGTGTATTGCCAGCCTTCCCCCCGCCCCACCCCCACCCCCCGCTTTCTTTTGAATCTTGGTTTCCCTGGCATACCATTGTAAAATAGACACTTGAGGGGGAGAGAAAGGAATAGCCAGAAATATCACCATAGAAAACTTGTAAGTCCATGTTCTGCCTATAACTGATTGGAATATCTAAAATGGGGCTACAACTTGCCCAGTGAAGGAGGCTTCGTGCTGAGCCTCTGGGTTGCATGAGACCATAGGTGGAATCCTGAATCCTATCCATAATCTTCTGAGGTGGAAAATTTCCACTTGAAAGGACAAGCAGACAAGCCTAGAGTGGCTAGAAGAACAGAAGATATTTCTTGAAAGACCAACAGGAAAAATACAAAACAATAACAACAGTCTGACTGACTAGTACAAGAACAAGCAAGTTGCTCACCCAGGAGACATCAAGGCAAGTGGTTGGGTCCCCTCAGGACAAACCCCCTTCCAAGACTAAGACTCAAGGGAAATACACGAAATGCAGTCTGACTGGTGACCATGTTGGTCACCAATAAGGGGAAGTAAAGGAAAAACAGCAATGAAGCTGTGAACTAAGTCCTACCATGTTTAATAGACTCCTGTGAACCTGGGTGGAAACCTCGTTGGCCAGCAGTATGGCAAGACCTGGGGACTCCTGGGCCCAGAGTCAGTGACATAGCCACTGAGGACTAGTGTGGAGAGTGAAACATCCAATTGATAAGAAGTAAGGGGATATATATAAGAACATCCACACTTGCAGATAATACGCACTTGATCTGGCTTCAATGACTGGATGATCAGAGCTCAACTAGAAGAAAGAAAAGGAAAAAAAGAGTAATCTGATACAATTTGATGAACTTGACCTACACCTATGGATGCAGTAGCTCAAAAGAG